ACTCTGCTTGCTATCCCCTTGGCTTGAGCAATGTAGTACAGGGGTTGGCAAAATATGGCCTGTGGAAGGCCTATGAAGGAGTTTTGTCCAGCCCTTGGTGGGTCCCTTGGTCCCGCCTGGTCTAGGCACTTTCTAGCTATGGCACAATCTGCTGCCACCTGGGCATATAGCAGGGCTGGGGCAGCTCCATGGCTGGACTGCCTTTCTAAGTAGACCAGGTGGCGGTAGCTTCTTCCATCTGCTACTGACGGTGGGCCCAGCTGTGCAGAACTGGTGGGGACCTGTGCGCGCAGCCTAAACCTGGCCTGCCTTGCACCTGCTCTGGACTTGCCTGCTCATACTAACTTGTGGCAGCAGCAGTGCTAACTGGGCAAAGACTGTTGTTCAGCGTGGGGGAAAAGCGGCCCCTCCTCTTTGCTGCTACCTGATGCTCCCTGCTACAGCCACCTGGAGCCCAGGCTGGGCTGCCCTGAGGCTCCTCTGTACTGCCATGGCTGCTCCATGGGGCAGCCTGGAGGTGGCGGTGACACAACAGCACTCCCAGAGTTGGTAGTTACACAGAACCGGATCAGGGCTGTGTCGCAGGTTCACGCTGATCTGCTCCAGAGCGGGTGAGTCCGGAGTGGGTGCAGGGTGGGGCAGGGGCTGCATGCTGTTGCTCGTGGCAGGGAGGTGCTGTAGAGCACATGGGCTCCAGGCTGTTGTGGGGCAGGGGTGGATGCTGATGGGCTCAGGGGGTCACATGCATACCCCACCATACCCACAAACCCTCCCCTACAAACCCCACAACCATACCCTCCCACACACACAATTACATACCCCACAAACACTGGACTCACTTTCACTCTCCACAAACCCCACACTCCTCACATTTTGAGCTATTATGCAATCACCTCTATATACACTGCACAAACACACACAAATCAGAACAAAAGTATTTTTAAAAATAAAATCAAGATGTTATTGTGGATGTTTGATTTTTAGTATAGAATTCAGGTTTTTTTCCAGTTTCAAGATGGGAACCCCTCTTCCCAAATGCAGTACTTCCAGGATGAGGGGAGGGACTTATGGTGGCAAAGGTCAGGGGTTGGCGGCAGGACTTCCACTACCAAGACAGTGACCGGGGCAAGGCATCTGTCAAGGGGCAGGCTACCCTTGCGGCCCTCGACAGCTCGCCAAAACTCATTAAGCGGCCCTCCAGCCAAAATAATTGCACACCCGTGAAGTAGTACCTACCAAATTGTTTCAAAAGACAATGTTTCATGCACACAGTACGGAATAGACCTTGGAATTAATATGGATCAGCACCACCACCAAAGTGGCATTTACTTAGTCTTAGAAAATTAACTGCAAAAATCTATTAAAACAAATCAGTTTTTAAATTTTTTTCCCAAGGATACTCAAATATAGCCCAATCAAATTATTCTGATAAAAAGGAAATTTGTTTGCTATGGGATCATCATGCAATCGAGTGACTGCTTTCTGTATCTGGTAAAATTGATAACAAATTCCATTTTTGCCTGCTTCCTACATGTGGCGTGAGTGATGCTTTTGAATAGTTACACCAGACGACAAAGCTAACCTCTTTAACAATTTCTTTGCCTCCGTTTTTTTGAGTACAGACCAGGGCATCCCTCCCACCGGGATCCCCAATGGACACAGGGGAGGCGCTGCCAGGTCCAGGGTCAGCGAGGACCTAGTCAGGGAACTTCTGGTGGGACTAGACGTGTTCAAGTCAGCAGGTCCTGACGATCTCCACCCCAGAGTGCTGAGGGAATTGGCAGAGGTCATTGCGGGACCCCTGGCATGGCTTTATGAGCACTCATGGTGCTCTGGCGAGGTGCCAGAGGACTGGAAAACGGCCAATATGGTCCCCATTTTCAAAAAAGGGAGGAAGAAGGACCCAGGAAACTACAGGCCCATTAGTTTTACCTTGGTTCTAGGGAAGCTCTTTGAGAAAATTATCCAGGAGCACATGTGCAAGGGACCAGCAGGGGGGGATCATACTTAGGGGCAACCAACATGGGTTCATTCGAGGCAGGTCCTGTCAGACCAACCTGGTGGCCTTCTAAAACCAGGTCACAAAATCCTTGGACGCAGGTGTTGTGGTGAACGTAGTCTTTCTGGACTTTAGGAAGGCCTTCGACACTGTCTCTCACCCCATTCTCATTAAGAAATTAGGCGACTGTGGTGTCAATGCCTACACAGTCAGATGGGTTGCAAATTGGCTGGAGGGCCGCACCCAGAGTGGTGGTGGACGGGTCTTTTTTGACCTGGAGGGATGTGGGCAGTGGGGTCCCCCAGGGCTCAGTCCTTGGGCCCACACTGTTTAACAACTTCATCAGCGACTTGTCGAGGGGGTGGAAAGCACCTTGTTCAAATTCACGGATGACATGAAGATGTAGGGAGAAGTGGGCATGCTAGAGGAGAAGAACATGCTACAACTAGATCTGGACAGGTTACAGAGGTGGGCGGATGAGAACAGGATGAGTTTCAATACTGACAAATACAAGGTACTACACCTGGGAAGGAAGAACCAGCAGCATACCTACAGGCTGGGGAACTCCCTTCTCATCAGCACAGAGGCAGAAAACGATCTTGGAGTCATTATTGATTTCAAAATGAATACGGGCTGCCAATGTGGGGACGTGGTCAGGAAGGCTAACCGCACCTTGTCATGCATCCACAGATGCATCATGAGCAGGTCCAAGGAGGTGATCCTCCCCCTCTATGCGGCACTGGTCAGGCCGCAGTTGGAGTACTGTGTCCAGTTCTGGGCGCCTCACTTCAGGAGGGATGTGGACAGCATTGAGAGGGTCCAGAGGAGAGCCACTCGCATGATCAGGGGGCAGCAAGGCAGGCCCTACGAGGGGAGGCTATGGGATCTGAACCTGTTCAGCTTCCACAAAAGAAGACTGAGAGGGGATCTGGTGGCCGCCTACAAACTGGCCAAGGGGGACCAGCAGGCAATGAGAGAGTTCCTCTTTCCCCGAGCGCTACCGGGAGTAACAAGGAATAACAGCCATAAGTTGACTGAGAGTAGATTCAGGCTCGATATCAGGAGGCTCTACTTCACAGGGTGGCTAGGATCTGGAACCAACTTCCAAGGGAAGTGGTGCTCACTCCTACCTTCAAAAGGTCTTCAAAAGGAGGCTAAATAATCACCTAGCTGGGGTCATTTGACCCCAGCATTCTTTCCTGCCCATGGCAGGGGGTTGGACTTGATGATCTACTTAGGTCCCTTCCAACCCTACCAAGTATGTACTATATGACAACTCAAAATTCAGTACAGGGGAACAAGACGGTGATCATATGGAACTGCATCCCCAAGTTACCAGTTTCACGCTCACCCAGAAGGACTGGTAACAGCTCTGCAAGATGTCACCACATAACTGTTACCCTATCCTATACGTGATGTAAGTTAATGATCTTAGCTGTCTTCCTATTGTACATTTGCCTTCACAACAAACAGCGTCACAATGGGCATTCTGTCTAAGGCTCAGTCTAGAAGCTAAGAAATGAAAAGATCTGGTGAATGAATTTCTCGGTTATTGCTAACAGGGGTCTCTCTAGCTCTGGGCACCTCAGTGGGATAGCTGGGGAGAAGCTCTGGGCCCCTATCTTTGCTGCACCTGCACTATAGTAGAAGGCTCCTGTATGGGGGATCCCACACATCACGAGCACCAAAGTCCACTGAAATAAAATAAGTTATGTTCAGTAAATAAGGGAAAACAAACTAATTTTTATCTGTTAATGTAACTTAGGAAATAGAACAAAGAGGAAAACTACATCCTGCAGCCGGGCAACCAGCAGTCATAGAACACAGCAAGGGAGGGTGGGAACATCTAGTTTAACTAGTAAGGACTCAATGCCTCAGGGACAAAGACTTCATTTGACTGAGGGAAGGGTTTCTTAGGGTGATGTCTTTTAGAGGACCAACTGTATAGTTGAGTAACTAGGGAAGCTTTCGTGTGCAAGACACTCTTCATCAGGTCCTAATATAGACTGCGGGATACACAGGATCAGAAAATCATTCCTGTGTGCAGATTGCCCTCTGCTGGAGTTCAGAGCAAATGGCTCAAAAAGGAATGCACTGCTTTTGAAAGCTTGTCCAAGTCTATTCCCAAGCAGAGAGAGGTAGTTAGCTGTGTTCGAGTCATAATCAGTCACAGAGTAGGGCTGGAAGCGACCTCCAGAGGTCATCTAATCCAACCTCCTGCCTGAGGCAGAATCAGCCCCTATCCAAACCATAATCCAAACTCTACATTAGTCTGAAGTCAGGAGGCAGGATAGAGATGCACCTTTATAGATTAAATAGTATCGATACATAGACCACAAGCTTTCGTGAATCCAAATTCACTTCATCAGATGCTGAGAAAACACAGCATAGTGCAGAGGATAAGGTGGGGTCTATCCCAACCAGGCAGCAGGTCCAATAAAAGATATCACTCTCCTAAAGCCTGCCCATTTCCTGGACCATCAAGGCCACAACATCCTTCCAAGGCTTCCCGAAGCAGTAAAGCCAGAGGGGACTAGTGAGGTGAGGACTCATGTGGGCAGGACAGAAAAGAAGTGCACAGAGCAACGTCTATTTTCAGGGGCACAAGGTTGCATCACCTGTTGTCACGGGCCACAGCCAGGTACTTTTTGCCCCAAACATTTTTTTTAAACCATCACGCACCAGTTGCATGTCAGAGCTGGGCAGTAGCAGAGCGACTGCTTCTGGGTGGCTCTGCCGGCACGAGGCTCCAAGGAAGGAAGGGGCTGCTGTTAAAAAGCAAGGCAAGGGATGTGCGTCTGCGTGCGCAGAATAATATCCCCTCCCAAGCAGGTGACCATCCTCCCTCACGGCCGGGCAGTCCTTGCGCACATGCGCATACGGCTCCACCCGCACCCCGCCTCTCGCTACCGCCGCACTCCCTTTCTCA